CATCTAAATATTAGTATGAATGGATTATCGACTAATGCCAGTGGTTATCATTGTCTGCTTGGTGATATCTGTGTCATTTTTTTCAGCTGTTGTTTTGTTTTTTCTATTTATGAGCTGAACTGCAAACTGATTTATGATTTGGCTTGTGAGAGATTTGCTATGGGCTGGTTCTCTGCTCTCAATAACCAGGTATTGATCGGCTTTCTAAAGATAATCATGTATTCTTACAAGTTTACTGATTTTTAAATATGATCGGGTATTTCTAAGTCCTGGTAGGTCTTGACCATGGGTTTGATGATGATGCTTTGATGTGAAACAATCCTGCTGATTCAGTAACGTGTGAGGGGAAGGGTCTTTTGATTGGTCAGATGAAGTATTTCTGCATTCACTTGATGAGAGAGGTGTTGTGAATGGCTGTCACACTTTAGAGGCATCAGTCGGAGCCTGCCATTGGTCAATTCTCTGTCCTGTCCTTTGTTCAAGATTGCTCAGGGTACCTATGTGGAGTGTTCGTGCACTCACTTGTCTGACTATGCAGCCCAAGGCGAGACAGATAACATTGTTGGCTACAATTTCTACATCCATGCAGCTTGTTTCATCTGCATTGCAAGTCAAAAAATGCTTGGAGTTTATCAACTTGGAAAGCTAATTCCTCTTGACCAACAAAATGAGTTGGTTCTCCACCGTCCATGTTTTGGCAAAAACAATTCCCTAGACTTTATCACCATATGCCAACTTGTGCTAGAAGCTAAGCAGTGAGCTATGTTTTTAATACCTCACAATTCAATGTTCCCATGAACGGCAATTTTTTGGATCTTATTAAAAGAGTACCTCTTTCTAAATATGGTTATAGAAATATTTTAGGAAGTTTTCATTGATTTATCATGAAATTGGTATGACCCTTTAATTTATTTGATACACTAAAAAATAACTATTTCTAAAGTGAATTCCCCTTTTTGACAGTTAAGTTTAATGTGTCCTTTTCCATGAGATGCTGAACACACTTGACCTGTGTTCACCATGCCTATGTTATTAATTTACAAATTCCAAACTTCAAAAACAGTCTGCAATAAAACCTTTCATTTTATATGTTTCCAAGTGATGTAGTTATTACTTTTACCTATACAAACAAAATCAGTTTTTGAAATGTTGTGAGGAGAACACCAGTCCTGAAATTAATCAGCCAAACACAGATTCACCAACATGAATAACTTGTTTCATTCTCTCTCTGCAGGTGGGCCAGTTGTGTGCCATCATTGCTCACGTCGTCTGCTCAGTCTTCTCCATGTTCTCGGCCAAGATTCTCATGCATATGTGCATGGCCGCCATGTCACTCCAGGTAACAACAACATTTATAGAAAAGTGTGCTTTATGCTCGATGCTGTTGTAAAATTTGGGAGAGGAAGATAGAGCCAAGCGAGTGTTACCTTACATGATGCTCCACTGTCCCTTGAAAGTTCAAAGTTCCCTGCGCAGTGGAGGATTCCCTGGACAGCGGCGGATTCCCTGCACAGTGGAGGATTCCCTGCACAGTGGAGAATTCCCTGCGCAGTGGAGGATTCCCTGGACAGTGGCGGATTCCCTGTACAGGGGAGGATTCCCTGTACAGGGGAGGATTCCCTGCACAGTGGAGGATTCCCTGCACATTGGAGGATTCCCTGCACAGGGGAGGATTCCCTGCACAGTGGAGGATTCCCTGTACAGGGGAGGATTCCCTGCACATTGGAGGATTCCCTGCACAGTGGAGGATTCCCTGCACAGTGGAGGATTCCCTGCACAGGGGAGGATTCCCTGCACAGTGGTGGATTCCCTGCACAGGGGAGGATTCCCTGCACAGGGGAGGATTCCCTGTACAGTGGAGGATG